TTTTGTTAATTTAATTGTGAGATTTCTTATTTTGTGGATTTTATTTCTTGCGAAGTAAAGAAAAATAATGGCAGCGACAACTGCAGCTAATGTTAAAATAAATCGGGAGGCTCAGATGGTAAGAATACGTTTTTTAAATTGGTTATATTTTTCTAAATTTTTTTTTTATTTTAAGAAAAAAAAATGTTTTTCAGCAGTTGATTTTCTCCCTTCTCCAGGTTTCATAATAACATTTAATAAAAACATATAAATATGGAAAGAAATAAAATATAGGAGTGTTATAAACAGTGATTTAGTGACTTGAAATCTAAATTTTTAAGTATCTAAATTTTTAAGTGAATAAAACTCTTGATACAATTTGAATAGTAAGGCAGGTCCTTAATTGAGTAATTATATAGAAAAATTGTGACAATTATTAGATGGCATTATTTAACACAATACTTATGTTTTTACCTTGATAATTAGTCTTCCTTTTATATAAGGCAATTTATATTTAGGCATTTTGTAAGATCATGAACTAGCTTTAGAATTATTTGATTATTATGTAGTTATGTAACTATTACAATTTCCTTTGTGTGATTTCTTCACTTCATAAGTTTGTTATGTAACTTAAGCATTATGACTAAAATACAAATAAGCAGTTTTTAATCTACAATAAATTAAAATTGATTACCAGTTTCTTCATAGTCTTCAGAAAAATAAATGTAAAATGATATTGAATCATTTGTTGTTAAAACATTTGAGCCGCGCCATGACAAAACCAACATAATGGGCTCGCGACCAGCATGGATCCAGACCAGCCTGAGCATCCGCGCAGTCTGATCAGGATCCATGCTGGTAGCAAACACATTATGTTGGTTTTGTCATGGCGCGGCTGATTTAATATGACCCATTTTGATGTGTCAAGTTTTTTTTCAGAACTGTTTGTTATTCTGTCTGTTCATTATTTTGAAATTTTCCCTTAGAATTAGCCAATGGTTTTGTCCAGCAAGTCTATTGAATGTATTTAGCGTGGTGATGTTTAAACAAGAACTATTATTACAATATGAACGATTGATCCGGAATTATTTATTAACGTCTTAAGAAACGAGTGGTAAATTTGTTCTTTGTTCTATTATTCATGATGTTGGCACTATAAATTAGTGTGATCGCTACTGGCCAGTTCATTTGTCGTAAATGGTCAAAATTACTGAAGCTGCGACCCGCATTGTTAATCTCCGTATACAGAAACATTCCGTGTGCGAGGGATGTTTTAGACAAAATATTTTGATAGTTTACAATATAAGAATAAGCGGAAATTTATTTGGACTTAAGTGTTGGGTTTTGAACTTAGATAATTTCATACCTCATGTTACATGGGTGGATAATAATCTTTGAATCTCGATAATTATGCAGATGTTTGAGATTTTATTATTAGATTGATTGAAGTATATTCTTTTGGCCTAAGAAAAACATGAGTGATTTTCGTAGTGCCAGTCAGACATCATTTGTTGATCCTTCAGTTGTTAAGGCAAGAATATTAAGTAAGGTAAGGGTTTTTAGCTATAACAGTTTGGTGATTGTTTCTTATTGCTAAATTGAACAGTGAAGTATGTTGGTTTGGGTATCATATCAAAGCTTATGTAAGATTCTTTTGGAAAGAAAATTTGTGATTAATCAGAATAAGAGAAGATGAAAATTATGGGTCAGAGTCTATATATTTTGGCTGGAATTTTATTTTTTGAATCATTGAATAGCTAGTTATTAAAAATATTTTTTGGATGAAAATGAGTCATGACCCAGAGAAATAAATGATTTCAGTTGTGTTAAAGCATTGCTTTTAAATTAATTGTGAAATCTTAAAATTCTGATTCATTGGCTCAACTATAGGTTTTGTTTATTTAATTGTAGTAATCAAAGTCTAAAATATGTTTCTGTTTGTATAAATAACAAAATATGTTTTTGTTTATTTAATTGTTCAAATTATTACTCAAGATTTATGTGCTTTGTGACATTTAACTACCTTGGATATTGCCTACAGTTTACTAGTGTTGTTCCGATTGTCGCAAGTCGCCGATTATCAGTTACTGTTATGTAAAGCGACAATAATCGATTCACAAAAATGTGTTCAGCGACTTCGTCGAAAATATTTTAAGTATCAAAGGGAATTAATTCTGACGGTAATTTTCTTTTAGGAACACCTCGCCGATTGCAAAAATATCATCTCAGAGACAATTTAGAGTTGAACAGGATCAGTACCTGATGTAAACAATAGTAATATAATGTGATGCGAATGTTATTATTTGACATCTATTGAAAATAAAATCTATTTCGTAAAATTATGACTATATAAGGTTAAAAATGTGTTGAAAAGTGCTAAATGAAGTTCAAGTTACTGAATATAATCAAGTGCCTTGGGAAGGATTGTTACTTCCCTATTTCTTTTTAACGCGACTTTATTCGAAAAGTTATCGATTATGTCCCAACCGATTGAACCGATGATCGATTGGGACAAATTTCATCCGATTTCTATCACTACAGTTTACATTAACACTGAGTGAGTTTGCATGATCCATGACAAAAAGAAAATTACCCTATACACATTAAAGCGCGATCAATACACCTTTGTAATGTGAAAGAAATGCAATGATTTATTCATGTTCAATACTTTTTTAGTTATTCTGGATTGAGTTTCAAGTTTGATATATATATACATTTACACTATATTTATACAGTGTTCCTACTTTCTAACAATAGAAGGTTAAGGAATGTCACATTTCAAGTCATTTAAATGATTATTGTTAAGGCAGCTTTGAATTTAAATTTGATCTCAGTTTTTAAAAGAAAAACAACATATTTTAATGAAATTGGTAGCTAAATGGTAGATAACTTAGTAACTTTTTAGTAGATATGATTTTTTTGTCTCTGCACCTTCCCCCCTGCAAAAATATGAATTATTACTGCTGTACCTTATACCCCTGCTCCCCTACAAAAGATTTATTTAAGGAACGGAATGGTAAGTGACAAAGTTAATAGAAATCTTATCATTTTTGGATTATTTGTACTTGAATGACCCATTTTTAAAATTGTTAAAAATTTATCTTAAGCCATAGGATAGTAAAAGTATAATTTTTGATATGACTATGGAAAGAAAATTCCCCATATTGATTCTATCCAATAATGCAATGAAATTTGAAAATTGATTTATCAAGTACAGGGAAAGAAACTAAACAAAGTTTGTGTTCTTGATCAAACATTGTAGATCTCTCATTATTTACAGTTGCTAAGGGGGAGGTTTAACTAAATAATACCTTGGTCAAACTTAACCTATAAATATTGATAGAACCTATGAATGGAAAGTATACAAAATATTGTCTGTTTAAAACTGTTCAATTCTCCCTTACAATATGAAAGGAAATAATCAACTTTTTTCCCCCTTCTGTATTTGATATTTTTATAAAAGATTTCAGAAAAAAATGAAGTTATATGGTGAAAATAGTTACTGTTTGTTTACACTTAACCAAATTTTCTCATCCAAACAATTAATAAGATTGTAACAATGTAACAACTGTGACGAAAAGGCTATGTGAATACAAGAGTATGACATTAATATAATATAAAATGGTCTTTCTTTATTTCTATTCTTACCCAAAGTACAATCATGCAAACCTTTTTAAAAGATCTGTGCTGATGTGTGAAAAAAAAAAAGTTTTATTACAATACTGATGGCAGAATATATATTGATCTGATGTATTTGAGTATTTTACTGTAAGTTTGCCATACAATTTAGTTGAATTGAAGTTCATTATAACTGTTTTTAACTGTATCTTATAATTAAGCAACAATTAGTTTCAAGTGAAATGTGTTTTATTATTCCAAGAATGTGTTTAGATATTTGAATGGTCAAGAAAGAGATATTGAGTCCGAACTTGTCATTGATATGTTCAGGTGATCCCAGGAAGCTGAAACTAGTCCAGTCTTGCAACTTGTTCATTTGAAGCTTGTTTTGGGATGCAAACAAGTTGAGATTAGTATTTTACCTCCAGAATATGATACATACACCCTCTGATTGATACACATATACAATGTTTTACAGGATATGGGCTGCTGCTTACTCAGTTTATGAAATTTTTACATTTACTTTAGTTTAAAAAAAAAAATTGTATAGTGTGATTGTGAAGATTTAGCTTGTACCACTCTTGTATCTGCATCCCAAAAACTAACAAAAACTGGTGCCGTAAGTGGAAAGATGCCCTTTGACCCCAGCAGGGCTCAAATTCACTATCTGAGAGTAGAGAGGCAGACACTAGCCACATGGCTACCAATCCCCGTATAAATTTCTAAATTTGTGAGCAATATGAAGGAAATGGGTTTCTTGCATATCAGACTGGCGTTTCCGTTAGTTTTACCCATGCCGGAAATTTCATCTGGCATGGGGGGTTCCAGATGAGTCGCGTGCTGTACAATGGCACGATAAAGATGACGTCATTTTACCGTTATGAATGATTTTGTAATTCATACGCTGTTGAATGAAAGTAGTTACGGTTGTAATGATATAAATTTTCATTGAAAATAAAGATAAAGAATTTAAAATATAATGGAAAATGGTAGAATATGCAAGAAAAAATATCTGACATATGTTTGCGGTTCAGATCGGAATATCCGTCCCTCGGTCACCCGCCCATGGGCGGGTCAACTCGGGACGGATATTCCGATCCGAACCGCAAAATATGACAGATATTATAATTCCCTAGAAACAACCATTTCATTACAGGTTCTAGATATGAAGTCCTGCTGCATTTTTTTAATGCTTTCAAAAGAGTTACAGATGAAGGAAAAATAACACAATTGTAAATTGTAATACTGTATGAAAGTTTAATGATAATTATTTTTATGAGAAAAAAAGAATAGGAAAATTTGTTTTATTGTAACAGTGGCTTACATGAAGACAATGGAAGAGGCCATAATAAAGGTATCACTGATTGACATTGCTTTTAACAGTTTTCATTTTTATTTTACAGCAAAAGTTGAAGGAGGAGAGAGAAGCAAAACGGCAACATCTCGATGAACGTCATATTTACATCCTCCAAACTGTTGCCGACAGTCTCGGCTTGGAACTCTCTGAGGTGGAAGATTGTATTCTTGAAGGCACTCAGGTATAACTAAAGACTTAATTGATATTGCATCATGATTTATAATGTAAATTAAAGTTTTTTACTAATTGATATATAATGAAATACTTAAGTTGATTTTCTACTTGATAAAAATTAAGAATTGCATCATTTTTGTCATACAGGCTTGAGAAATCATCTGTTGAGTTAGTGTAAGTCATTGTAAAAATTACTTGGAACCATTTCTATACTGCACATTCAGGAGGGGCGTCATTAGAAGAGTTGTTAAGGTTGCTAACTTGTCCCTCATCCCTCAGTCCCTGTGGGACCTCAACCCTCAGTCCCTGTGGGTTTGAATCCCAAGAGGGACTCAAGTTGCTTTCTTTAATGTAAGGAAGCTATCCAGCTAGCTACCCTGGGGCCAGCTTGTGTCTCAGATCTTCATTTCCCAGTAAAGCTGTTAAGTTGCCAATGTCAGTGTGACTAAAAGCCAGACCAAAACAAGATCTGGAGCAGACCAGGTAACAGGATTGATGTTAGTAAATGATGCCCTGAAGGTAATTAGTAATAAACCACAATATATAATTAAATTTCAGATTGAGACCATGGATTTGTTCCTTGACCCAAAAGGTAAACCAGGAACCAACCAGCTTATGTTTTACTACCAGGAACCAGAAGACAAGGAACCTCATGGTATGTATCTCTTGTTGTCATGGAGATTGCAGAATATTTGATTTTATGAAATAGGAGTGCCAGACCACATAGAAGTAGAACATGTGCTTTTACATCAATGTCTGTTGGTGGAGAAAATGTGTTACTTTTTTTGAAACTTTTTGTTATATTTTGTGAAAATACATGTATATAGATACATTATTAGATTTAATATCATAAGGATAGGAGTAAAGGGCTTCCTTGAAATGTGATTTTTATTTTTCTATGTTCTTAAGATAGGTTTAATGTACCATGTATTTTTGTTGAAATGACAAAAAATTAAAAAATTTTAGTGATGTAAGGATATGTAATGATCTAGAAAGATCAAATGCACATTGGTGGTGGGAGCACACACCAAAATGTTTTGGTTTTTATTTTCTCTCCATTGATAGCAATATTTAGATATTTTTGCCCATTTACTCTATTTTGAAACTTCCAAGCTAGCTAGAATAGTACGCAAGAAAACTAACTTTCAGATATTCGTTAACTTTAACTAAGTGAAGTTAACTTCAACAAACTGACTTTTGTTTCATCATGCTTTAAGTGAATATATTAAACCTTTCAACTTGTGGCATATTATTCTGTGTGAAAAACTCTTTTCATGTTAAGTAGTTAAGAACGGAAAGGCAATTTGCCATATAAATATATGTATGATTTAATAGCTCTACACACAAAACTGCAACTTAAGGAGGACCTTGGTTACACAACCTGCCTAATAAGGCTATAATTTGTCTCCTGCCTACTCTACATTAAGCTTTATTTAAAGACCCTATATCTCCTTGACCCCTCTTTTTGTCAAGGAAAACAACAGTTTCATTTACAAAAGAGGTTTTTTTAATATATATAAATTTGACCATATTTAGGAGAATGTATCATACAAAGACATACATAAATATTGGAAACATTTAACTGACAATAAATAGTTTCATCATAGCGAATTAGGTTTGCTGAAACAAGACATAAAGACAGACATGATTGCAATCAATTCTAATTGTTTTGAATTACTGAAAAACTTGGAGAATAGACGGGAGGCTGGGATTTTGAAATTTTTATTTTCTGTGTGTTTGTGTTATATGTTCATATTATATGTTGACAACATATGTGTTTATATATGTGTTTTGTGTAACCCATTGTATGTTTTCAGCAGTGGGATTTCGTTTACACCATCCCTCGGAGAAAGACGAGCGCAAGAAAAGTAACCCATGTATGCTTTCATTGTCTATCATTGTTACATCACTGTTACTAACATACTTTAACATGGTATATTGATTATAAGAGTTATTCCCCTTGAAAAATATCAAATATTTGAGTTATACCCCTTGAAAAATATCTAGATATTGGAGTTATTCCCCTTGAAAAATATCTAATATTTGAGTTATAACCCTTGAAAAATATTCAATATTAAATTTTGTCAACTGCATTATATTTAACTTCCATAAATTCATACTAATCACACTTTAGCAGTAATTTTAAACTTCTCTTTACGTTTACTACATCTAAAGATTGAAATTTAAGATAGTTATAATGTGTCTCCGGTTAGTGCAATATTGCCATTTTTTATTGTGTATGTGGCAAGTTCCGTAAAGAATGCCAAAGAAGTGCCCAGACTTGGGAGAGTCACAGGCCAAGCATTTATCATTAGACTGATGTATGCCTTTGTATGGTCTAACAGTATCTTCAGCAGAAGATGCAGTGACTGATCAAAAAGATGAATTTAAATACAATATGTCAATATACCATGCTGAAAACATTCCCCATTTTTATTGTGCATGTATATATCCCCCACTAACCTGATTTCATTTTATATTTTACAGCATCTGCACTTTGACTACAATATTTATTTCAGATATAATCAGTCTGTATACTAGTATCAGTTCAAATCAAATATCTCTGCCTTGAAAAAAATGTCTGTTTTAGATTTCCTAAGGGGTGTTTTCCATTTAGTAAGGTCATTGAATTCAACCCTTGTCTTGCTAAGTTCTTAGTTGGAATTGCCCATCTTTCAATCTGGACAAAACTATTCACCATTTCTACAGAAAATTTCAAAATATGTGCTGACTGAATAGTGACCAGTGCAGACCATGATTAGATTACATGTATATGCTGGCTGATCTTGGTCTGCACTGGTTGAATGGGTAGAATGTGATACTGTCAGTCAGCAGGCAGCTCAGAGTTACAGATATTTAGACAAAAAATAGGCAAAAAGTTCATACTTTTTCAATAGATTGCATAATTATTCACTTGCATGTATTTAGTCCAGGGTTGAAGCTAAAATTCAGGATAAGTTGGAAATATAGGCACAGACATTTTTTTGGCCTCATTGTTTTGTGTTACTTCTAATCATTTTCAGTAAGCATATTTAGATTTGTAGTTGATAAAGTTGTAAGAATGATTAAGTTCATTTTATCATCTTCAGGTAAATTAAAATATCATGAGGTTAGTTGTAGTTTTAAGATCAGTCTGAACCAGTCCATTCATATCATCAGGAATAACTTTAATGTATTCAGACTGGAAATCTGTAAATTATTCAGATTGGAAAGTTTAAGAATAAAGAAATACAGTTGTATAGACTAGTAAGAAGTAACCTAATAGCAAAGTTGAGGGCTTCAGCAATATTAACCATCTTTGATATTATATTGTGCATTAAAACCCATATAAATGTACTCATTTCTTAAATAGTTAGATTTCTTTAGAAAATGACTTTATAAAGATTCTTTAGAAAGTGATGTTATACTGTTTATAGTTATGTTTAGATCTTTCTTTAGGGCTTCTGATGTCTTGTAATAGTAGTTATAATATTATAGACTTTTACAGTTCTTTCTTATTTTGTTCATGTTATATATGTAGTCAAGAATTACTGAGGTGACAAGATTTCTTACTGTATATGTACCGTATGTTATTATCACAATCATGTTCCTCTTAGTTTATATGAATATCTTTTGGTTTTAATAAGAGAACTTTTGCAAGTTTTGATAGGGAAAATGAGAAATATGAGAACTTTGTCTTTTTTATTGTATTAAGATAAGTTATTCATTAAAAAGGTACCCTCACAGTTTTAAATTTTGCCATTGGTCATAAGAGATAATTCTTGTAATTGTCAAAAAATGATATTTTCTAAATGAATGTCTTTTAATAGTATTTTGAATTAGCGTTATTCTAAATGCTGATTTATTTAGTAATTTTCTTGGATTGTTCATGGCAGAAATAATGCTTTGGTCATACAGCATCTTACCAGAATTACTGTTGTTGGAACCAAACCAATTGTGCCCATCCAAACATTATAAAATTATGGCTGAAGCAAGCTTAAGTTAGCAAAATATTTTCATGATTATAGTAATATATAAATATTCTATATCCCCTACAGAGATCCCAACCAACTACATGTACTACATTGGTATTACTTACATTGTACCAAGGAATTTTAACCCCTTTGTAATGTATGTCCTTAAACATTACTTGAATCAAACATTTTCAGCAAGATATCAAATTGCTTCTATAAGGAAGTCAATCTTAAATTGAACGGTGCAACTGTTAATAAAGTTTTTTATGCTTCACACAGTTTTACATCAAGTATTTTCAGACTTTACGGCTGTGTTTTACAATGATGTTATAGATGTTTTAGAGAGTGATATTTAAGATTTCAAACTTTAATTAAGCTGCTGGTAACATGATAAACAGGAAGTGCATTGCCATATTCAGTATTGTCATATAGGTTGTCTGATGCTATGTAACAAGTTACTTCAAAGAATGTAGTACATACCTAAATTAGATCCTTAAAGAATGGGTTTTTTTCTGGTTTACTCAGAAAAACATGTCTTGAAAAGCCATTGAATGTGTAAAAAATAAATAAATATAAACAGAATGTAAATGTATTGATTGTTTTGCGTCAGTAACCAATGACAAGATCTTTCTGGCTTTCATTTATTATATAATTCCCATATAATATGTCTTGTTTTTCTTTTTTTTCAACTATTTGTCTCTCATTAATGCATGTTTCATTCTTGAAAAAGTGTATGGTTCCAGCCAAGCCTGTATGGGGTCATTGGTCTGACTTACACCATTTTATAAATGAGCTGCGTCACGACAAAACCAACATAATGGGTTTGCGACCAGCATGGATCCAAACAAGCCTGCTCATCCGCGCAGTCTGATCAGAATCCATGCTGTTCGCTATCAGTTTTTCTACTTGTTATAGGGTTTGTAAGCGAACAGCATGGATCCTGATCAGACTGCACGGATGCGCAGGCTGGTCTGGATCCATGCTGGTCGCAAACACACTATGTTGGTTTTGTCATGACACAGCTCAAATATTAAGTAATGCATTGATTATCTTGTTTGACATTTACAGCTGAAATTTTAAGAGGACCTAAAAGCTGAGCAACAAATTTTTTTAAATAGTAACCTATAGCAGGCAATTTGAGTAGGGTTCGTATAGTTTTTTTTCAAGAAAGTTAAATTATGCATTGCAGGTTGATTTATCTGCGTAAGCATTTTGAAAAATGCTAGATATTGAAGAAAATTTTAGAAAATAAAGTATTGTCCTGTCTGTGCAACTTAAAACCCAGCTAAATGCAGTTGATTATTTATTTTGTGTATTATTACATTGAATGAAGTGTGTATAATTGCAATTTATTCCAGTAATCTGATAATGATATAATATTTCCTTGACCTGTTATTGGCACTATTCCTCACTAGTACTTACTTTTGACTTTGTCACATTAAGGTTTCATAATACTGTTATATTTTTCTGTGTAATTTATTTAATATTAAGTACATATTAATCTGTGTTATTTTGAATTAATCCAGGAAAGATTTAATATTTTAAGGTAATGATTATTTATATCAGTGGTATTAAGTTTTTTTTTTTTCAAGAACGCAGATTGACAGGTCATTTCTATATATGTCTTGCAAGAAGTTAATCTTAAAAGAATTCCTGGATTAGTAAGGTCACACAGATTGGTAATCTACTGGATATTTTATTATTAATATATGAACTTAAAATATATTCAAGTTGAAATCAGCAACACCTGTATCATTTCCTTTAATGAAAAAAAGTCATCAAGTTGACCTATTGAAGGAATATATGGACTGGCATCGGTGTCTGATCTTGCCTCACAATGAATACATGTATAAAAAGTTTGTCTTGTCAGTTATAATTAGTCAAATTGCATTTCCCTTTCTCCCTCCCAGGAAAAAAAGGTTTTTTTGAAAGAAGACAGAAAAAAAGAGTTAAAAAAAATGTTTGTTTCAGAAATATGACTAATGTTATGATATTTTAAGTTAAAGCAAGGTACCAAAAGGCAAAACAGTACTCTGTATCCATAATCCTTTGTTAATGGACATATATAGTAATATTTATATAGTTTTATTTCTGATTGTATGATTGTTGTTTTGTTTAGGTTGGAAGGGAAGAGATATCCTTTTTCTTGATTCAGGTGCAAAATTAGTTGATTTTTTCCTTAAATTTTTGTTGTTTTGTTTGTTTTCAGTGGAACATCTAAAAACAGGTCCACCAGCTCAGAAAACACCACGTCAGCTCAAGCCCAAAGTGTTTGTAGCCAATGGTAATGATGTCCCCTTAAAAGGCACCGGCCTGCTGTTCATCAAGACTGGGGAGCCGTCTTCTGTGATCACAGAACAAAACATGGTGAAGGTATGTGATACATGATCATCATTATTTCCTTGTTTTTATTGACAGTTAATTGTATTTTGCAATACATATGTATATATATTAAGGTTTTTGTTCTGGATCAGCATTCCATCATAATCTTGTATAAACCTGACATTCTATGCCATTTTATTCACCGTAAAAAAATATGCAGTTGCACCCTGGTGAGTTCTATTTGTCACTCTGATTTTTTTTTTAGGATGAAAGGTCAAAGATCAAGGTCACTGATACTTGTAATAGCAAAACATAAAATTGATCATTAAATGAAAGTGCATTGACCTGGAAACTTGAAACTGTGTATGCATATGCACTTTGATAAGTTCTACATGCAATACAATTTGGGTCAAAAGTCAAGGTCACTGTGTCATTTACCGAGAAACTTTGAGTCTGTCATTGCATCAAATATTGTGGTTTGTTTTTGCATCAAAAATTATTTTTTATTTGAAATTTGCGATTTACTATCCAGCACTTTGGAAAGTGGAGTGTGCTGCTCTTCAGACATCTCTTGTTATCAAATCCATACAATGTCTAGACATGATTGCAATTTATTCAATTTATTCTTTATCCTTGATTTAAAACATACAGTACTTGTCATAAAATTTGCGTGGGTGTTCATAGGTCTTTTTTTCAATGTCATTTATTGAAAAAAAGAAAAATGAATAAATGTAAATGCTCGATTGATTTTATGATTTATTTTCTAGGATATCAACTTTACTATTCTTGATACCAATGGACACGGACGTAATGGTGCGGGACTCCTACACGCTGTCGAACATCTCTTCTCCAGCATATTCATCCCTGCCCTGAAGAACCTTGACAAAGGATGGGGCGCCCTTGAGTCAAAAGGCTCCACTCAAACCAGGGTTGACTTCCTCAATATGCTAGACTCTTTTGTCTCTGTACTTGTTGGTAGGTATTGTAGCAAATCTTGTGTTGTTTGTTAAATGTTTATTATCATATGCCCAAACATAGGACAGACATTACAGAAAGAACTTACATGAAGGCCCAACCCTTTCACTATTATTTTGAAAACCTGGTTTTTCTGTGTATATTAACATATACATGTATATATTAGCAATGAAATATGATTAAATCAGAAAGACATTACAGCTATTGTTTCAAATAGACAGAAAACTTATTTGACTCTTACTCTGATATTGTGTGCATTGTTTACAGAAACACATTATAAGGTTATTGTTAATTTAATTGCAGACCAAAATGGACAAGTATATGGTGATTTTGAACTGTATTGGACAGACATAGTTATGTTTGTAGTCTTATTATTTGCAATTGTCAATATTCTTAACTCTAATGAACAGACAAAAACTGATTTTATTTACCTGAAATGAAAAGACCTGTAATGCATGAATTATCACATCTCTAAATTGAACATTATTTAGGTGCTCAAGAAAGCTTGAATGAGAAGGTTGAACTAAAGCCATGTGAGACCTATGAGCTATCGAAAGTTCAAAGCCCAGCAGACTACCAGGCCATTGCCAACAGCTCCGAGGCCCTGGAAGGTATTGAGGCGTGCATGTGTGTCTGGATCAAACAGATTGAACAGGTAGGTGTTTTGTTAACATTTCTCATGCTGAATTTGTAGAATAGACTTTTGATATAGACTAAAAATGGAATCGTATAATCACTGTTATGTTTGATTTATATATAAAATATGCAAATGCTTCTATATGAGATACACAAATGTTTTTAATATACAAAATACACAAATATAGAAAGTAGAACAGTCAACAGTATAATCTAGTCAAACTATACATGTATTTTCAGGCTGACATTGCTTTATTTCAGTTTCATAGGTTATATAATGTCCCTCCTTGCATTAAAAAATTTGACTGCATAGAAATATAATTTTCTGTTTGACTGAAGATGTTACATTTACTTAGATTAGCCATTTTCACTTTATAAACTCTTATTGTTCTTCTTGTGGACTTTGTTTAAAAGTTTCTTTTGTACATATCAAATAAAGAACTAGAAATGGCAATAATATCTTGGTAAAGCTGATATGACTGAAAATATTTTGTGTAATATTGTTTCATTTTGACTGGTTGGCTAGATGCATTGAATATAATTCTTGTAATATAAGAATTAATATTTAAGTCAATAATATTTATCCTCATGATCCAACGTCCAGTGAATAACAGTGTAATATATAACAATACCATTTCCAGGTGTTGGCCGAGAGTGAGCAGATGAGGAAAGAAGCAGACGACATTGGACCAAGAGCAGAACTTGACCATTGGAAGAAAAGGATGTCAAAGTTCAACTATCTGCTTGACCAGATCAAAGGGTCAGAGGTCAAGGCTGTCCTTGGTGTCCTACATGCTGCCAAGTCCAAGCTCATTAAGGTGAAGAGAAATTTTGAAACAGTATTTTAAATGCAGATTTAAAAGAACATGATGGATCCAAATACTTGTATTTCTTTTGATATCAATTCCCACTCATTTAAAAGAACATATAATTCTATTATTCTGGTCAGGAAATACAGTGACATGCCATTGTTGTATCAATAATGTCAAGTTAAATATTTCAGAAAGTGAATTATTTAGATATTTCCATTGTAAGAACAGGAAAACTGCCATCTTACCAGCAGTGTATAGATTAGGCTTATAAATGTTCATTACACAAGCAAAAATAAATGAATAAAAATAAACCTAACAATTTACTTAAATTATAAACTTTCTTAACAATGTCATACACAAATTTTGAAACGAAAATATTGAAATTCTGATTTTTTTGTTTTTTTTTTTGTTGTTGTTTAGACATGGCAGGAGCTTGATCGACGTATTACTGACACGGCTAACGAGGCCAAGGACAACGTGAAATTTCTCTACACCTTGGAGAAATTCTGTGACCCTCTCTACAACAGCGATCCTGTAAGTAATCCTGAATCTAGAACGTTATAAAAATCAGTTTATAAAACAATCTGTGGACAAAAGTAAAGATATCTAAGTATATGCATGTTTATTAATACGAAGAACAAGGGAGGGAACCAAAATTATATATAATTTCTTACTGGCTTTATTTCTGATAATGAATTGAAACTAGTTGTTCACTAGCTATATGTAAACTTAAATTTATGCCCATTTTGCCAAATTGTCCTCATAAAATGTTTGGAAAATTTCCTCACATCTTCAGAAAAATGCAGCTTAGTTTAGAGAAATAAGAAAACGAAGTGTATAACTTTATGACAATGTTTGTTGTTATCTACAGGTTGGAATGTTGGAAGGTATCCCTGGTCTGATCAATGCCATCAGAATGATCCACAGTATCTCCAGGTATTACAATACCTCTGAGAGAATGACCTCACTCTTTGTCAAGGTTAGTTATTATTCTATTGTTTTTAACCAGTAAAAAAAACAAAAAAAACCATTTCTCTTGGTATAAGTAAGGAAAGATATCAGAATTTTAGTGCTTCTGTACATTATCTGATGAAGTTTAGCAACAGGAAATATGATGCAACAAATATTTCTAAAAAAATGTTTGAAAGGCTTGTGTCTGTGTGCTTGAAATAAACTTTTGTACCTCAGAATATAACAATCTGGAAAATTAGTTAAAAGTAAACAAGAAAATTGTAAACACTGATTAAAGGGAGAGAACAAGTTTTATTATTTTTCTACCATTGTATATTTGTAAAGAAATTTTAATGTCCTTTGTTTTGTACAGATCACAAATCAGATGATCACCGCCAGCAAGGCTTACATCACAAACGGAGGGTGTGAGACAGTCTGGTCTCAACCTCCGGGCGAGGTCATCAAGAAGCTCAATGACTGTATTCGCCTTAACGAGGAGTATCAACGATGCTTCCACAAGACAAAAGAAAAGCTGGAGAAAATGCCCAATGAGAGACCATTTGAGTTTTCCGAGATGTACATTTTCGGAAAGTTTGACACTTTCACAAAGAGGCTGAAGAATATCATTGCCATCTTTGACATGTTCTCTGTCTACGCGACATTGTCGGAGTCCAAAATTGAAGGTATGTTCAGTGTGGTTTGCTTGTTTTGTAATACCTCTTATGCTACAAGATTGGTGACTTGCTTTTTTTCTTCTTTAAAAGTTGCCTCACCTAAAATGTATTGGATTCTGAAATTAATTCTGTACACATCTTTGTAAGAATAAACAAATCTGGTATAAATCTAAGTATTAATACATTGTTTTACTTTTCAACATCAACAAAATGGCCATATAAACCTCCATTTCGTTACAACAACAATTCTTGTCTGAAATTCAAGTAAAACTCTAGACAATATGGATTATTTCATATTCTTAATCAAAGTCTACAATCCAGATATCAAAGGTTTATTGTCTTGTACTTGTAGGTTTGGAGGTAATGGCCAACAGGTTCAGCGTGATTCAGACACAAATACGTAAAAAGCCGTATGATTTCCTGGACCAGAGGAAACAAGAGTTTGCTGGGGATTACGATGATTTCCAGAGACAGATCAAAGAACTGCATGTAAGTTTTGTCAACATTGATGCTAAATAATAAATAAATAAGAAATAGATAAAGCTGGTTATAAGTCATGGAAGTGATATGTTTATAGTTATAAGTAATGAGTTATAAGTAATGAGCTGAAATTTAATTCAATGACAATTGTAACCATAATATAATTGAAATTACATGTATAATGTTTTAAAGTTTATGCAGGTAGTTATATGGAAGATCTAAACGAAATCCGAGGATATGTCATGGATATGCATTGATTTTTAGCTCGACTTTTCTATGAAAAGGGGAGCTATCCTACTCGCCCCGGCGTCGGCGTCGGCGTTAGCGTTGGCGTCACACCTTGGTTAAGTTTTTCGTACCACCCCACTTTATTTCAGAAGTATTACAAGTATGGCTTTGAAACTTACCATACTTGTTCACCATCATAACCTCCATCTACAGACAAGAGTACATACTCTGTCAAGGTTTTTGACAGAATTATGGCCCTTTTTGACTTTTTTTTTGAAAGTGTATTGAGCTTGGTTAAGTTTTTTGTACCACCTCACTTTATTTCAAAACCATTGGAGGTATTGCTTTGAAACTGACCATACTTGTTTACCATCACGACCTTCATCAACAGACAAGAGGACATAACTCTGTCAAGGTTTTTGACAGAATTATGCCCCTTTTTGACTTAGAAAATACATTGATTATGGGTAAAATCCACTTATTGCCTTAACCCTTTGAGATATTGCTTTGAAACTTTTAATGCTATTTCCCATCATTACCCCCATCTGTACGCAAGAGAAGGTAACTCTGTCAAGGATTTGTTTTAAAAATTAAGGCCTTTTATCGACTTAGAATCTTGGTTAAGTTTTTTGTACCACCTCACTTTATTTTCAAAACCATTGGAGGTATTGCTTTTGAAACTGACCATACTTGTTTACCATCACGACCTTTCATCAACAGACAAGAGGACATAACTCTGTCAAGGTTTTTGACAGAATTTATGCCCTTTTTTGACTTAGAAAATACATTGAATATGGGTAAATCCACTTATTTGCCTTAACCCTTTGAGATATTGCTTTGAAACTTTTAATGCTATTTCACATCATTTACCCCCAATCTGTACGCAAGAGAAAGGTAACTCTGTCAAGGATTTTTTTAAAAATTAAAGGCCTTTTATCGACTTTAGAATCTTGGTTAAGTTTTTAGTACCAGGGTCCACTTTTTGACTGAACTGTTTTTGAGATATTAATTTGAAAGTTGGAATACTTGTTTTACAATCATTGATTCCCAAACATGTCAGCGAGAAGGGGGGCTATTCTGTCAAAGATTTTTTTTTTTGAATTATTTGCCCCCTTAACTTGTCAATGTGTTTTTGTTTATTAGGGGAAAGACTAAAAAAGTCGACATGAGCGCGCTGTCTTTAACGGCGCTCTTTGTTGCTTCATTTTTAACACATTAATATAGAAGTGTGTGGTTTTAAATTTCAAAGAAAATAAGGGGCTTGATTTGGGGAGATGTTTGCAACCAAAATTTTACATCTTTTCAATTGTGTTTTATTTAATGAAGAAAAACCCATATTAATCTAATGTCTGTTTTCATGTAAAAGGAAAAAATTTTTGTTATTTTTTCGAAAAATTGGTTTAAAATGTAACTACTTTCATTTTTCAGCCCAAACAGTAAAGTTTTGGGATTTTTTATTCTATAAAGAATTTGTTTTTTTTTCCATACACGGAACCAACACTGTGAAGTTTATAGGGACAAGGAATTTGAGAAATCCGGAACGCGTGCCATAAATTTCTGTTGCATTGAAATTTTGAGAAACCCTGAAGCTCCCTAACCTAAACCAATACACAGGAGAAATATCAGGAGAATTCTTCGCTCACAGGGTATGGTAAAGATATTGAGAGGGATTGTCCAAAATACCAAAGAACAAAGACGAGCCTCCAGGTAGCCCAGAAGATTTTACCTCCCATTGCAGGTAATTTAAAACTTCTTAAGATTAAATTCTAATTTTACCCCTTTGGCAGTCAACCCGGGGTAAATAATCCTTTCAAAGGAAGAAAAACTGTATCCCTCATGTAAGACTCAACCCAAACCGATTCTCTTGGTAATTTTTGTTGTTGATTTAATAGCCTGTCCGAGGGATCATTTGTTTCCAGAGAGTTTTTAAAACTTTTTTTTATTAAAAACAGTATTTTTTCAAGAAAAAAAATTTTTTGGTGGTTGAATTTTACAGGTTTAAGATATCCTGGTCTCTCGCCAGCCTTGTTCCGACGTATCCAGGAAAAAACCATGGAAATATTCCAACAAACAACCGTCGCTCCTAGAGAACTCAACCAGAAGTCTAAGAAGAATTATCAAAGTTTTTTCAACAATTGCCAAGGTTTCTTCCTCGAGTTTGAAGGTCCTCTAATTATTAGAGGACTTGGTTGAGGCAGGTCCGTATTATTTATAATAAGTATTTCATAACTGTGTTTGTAATTATTTATACAATAACAGGTAGTTCCTGCACAAAAAACTGAACACCTATTGGTGATGAAAAGTTGTTTTTTGCTGCTTAGCCATTACATTTAAGTCACAGTTTTATTCAGTGTTTTGGTCTGACAGCGCATTTGAACTTCTAAATTTTTTAACTTATCTGTTTGAAAGAGAAATTTGAGCCATCATCATTGCTCTGGCTTTCTCGTCATTATTGTCATCCTAGCAAAAACTTTATTGTGGCCCATTTACTCTAACAGTATTAGAAGGTATCAATATGAGATTGGTGGAAACACATGACATAAAGGCAGTTGTAAGACTTAGGGGCACCAATTTTCTGAAAGCTAATATTTTTTTTGGCATTATGGCCCATTTTTTTTAACTTGGAATTTTTGTCAAAGTGGTTATTTTAACGAGGATGAACGTTAACACCACATGCAGTGTTTCTTGTTTAACCCATTTTGATATTAAACGCATTTCAGCATAATAAGAAACTGGTTTTCAAAATTAAAAAGCAAGGTTAGTTGTTTACACAATTAATGAGGTTGAAGGTTAAGGGGGTTTTATTATTATTTTAGGTGGAAGCAGCAAAGTCGGGGTTGTCGGCATCTCTGCTCGTGGAAAGCACCAGAGACTAATGAACTGTATTGTGAACTTTGACCCTCAGATCCTCACAATGATCGGTAGAGACCGAGTGCATGGCTAGACTTGGTTTGGGGAGATTCCACCAGTTTGCCAAAACTAATGAGGACTAAACAAGGAGAATATAACAGGACAATTTTACAATGCCCTAACTTGCTGTAGGTTTATAACATGGGCTACATGTTATAATTATACTTGCTAGTTTTATAAAAGCTAATGCTAAATATTAAATTTCTTTTTAACTTTGGACTTGTTTACATGTATATCTGTATGTAAATATTTCTATCGAGGTTAACAGTTTTAAGTAGAAAAGATTTTTTTTTATAAGTTTTTTACAAACTTTGAAGGTAGTTTTTTTCAAAGGTTATTTAATGGTTTAAAAATTAAAATAACTATATTCTGGTAAATTAACATTTTTGACATTTTTTGTTTTCTATCAAGTTTCAAGTAAATCAATTTTGTACAATACCATTACTAAAACAGACACTATTGCAAATAGGTGTATTGTCTTTAAATGTAAAGAGACCTTTGAATCCATGCTTCTGTTATTTTATATTTTTGGGGAAATTGAAATGTTTGTAGATTTGATGCTTCAAGAGAACAAGAGAGTGGAGGAAAAAGATTTTTCCAACTGCCTTTTGAGGAGCTCATGGGACCAGACATATCAACCGTGTAGATGATACCATTGAACCTGGCCTCACCAAATTATCCTGGAATCCCACTGAACATTGAAGGTCCAATCCAGGATGTTTACAGCTGTCTAGAAGAACTAGAGCTGCTCCATGATCCAGGGCTTTAATGAGCTGACCTGAACTTCCCGTTATTGGGATGCAGTCTTACAGGAAATGGCCGGGAAACGACTCTTGTGCAAGCCTACCGCAGGAGTGAGCCATGGCCCGGTAGAAGATTTTTCCTTTTGAGAACGTACGCAGGAAATTTTGCGCAAAAGGTGCAACGATCCCTTCAGACAAAGAGTCAGGGGTTGTTCAAGATGCCTTGCAACTGAGTGTTGAATCGACATGTTTGCTTCACCTAGAGGTAAATGAAGAGGAAATTGTTGATGATGAGAAAAAAGAATGGTAATGTATTATTTTTCCACTTAGGTATTAAATTCTTAAAGGGAAAAATTTATATGAAACCTTGTATAACATTTTAAAGATTTTTTTTTTATTTTTTTTTTTGCCTTGCAGTTAACGAGTATTTTGTTCTTATTGGCTTTGATTTCAAAAGGGTTTATGCTAAGGTTGTTTTTTTTTTAAGTTATTTCAATATTTTCCCAAGTGATTTTATTACAAAAGATACCAGTAAATAAAGCATATTTCTATCTTGTATTCTATTTTTTTCAGAATTTTTTAACTTTTTAGTTTTTTTAATGCTTACCCTTTATCATTTTTTTTTGACAAGAATAAATTTAGAGACATAGTAAGCATTCGTTTATTTTTAATTTTTTGTTATTCTATTTAAATTAAGATGATGGAAGAGGAGAAAGGTACCCCAAAGTGGATTCTGGTGGCCGTTGCCGTTTAGCCAACGCTCCTACTGGACCTGTCTCTTTCAAAGGCCAAACTTGGCTGCTTTAAACGCAAACGTGAACCAAAAGAAGAAAACGGAGGCAAAGCCGCAAAAGATTTGAAGTCATTTTCAAAACCACCGAACCTTGAGGCTCTTTAATCAAGGTCCAATGATGAACACCCCCGAGGCTTCGAAACAAATCAACATTTTCCGCTCAATGGGGTTAATTATATTGGTTAGTTTTCTGAAATATCATTAAATTTTTTTGAAATAATATAAATCATTTAATAGGAATCCAGTTTGAATTGGCTATTTAGTACAGTTTAAGCTTTAATTTTTGCCCCTTTTTTTTTAGGCCTATTTAAGGCACCTAGAATATTTTCTTGTTAATCCATTGAAAGATAAAAAAAAAAGAATTTGTAGGAATAAACCATTACTGGGCTACTATTAATTTAGTTACACAAATAGTATATTCAGAAATAAAATAAATGGCCGATTGTCACGCGACAAACCCCAACATAGTGCGGCGTTTTAGCCGACCACATTTGGAATCCAGAAACCAGCCTGCGCCAATGCCGGCACAGTCTGATCCCGGATTTCCATTGAGTTCGCTTACCAACTCTAATATAACAGGTATAGAAAGGTGATTGCGAAAACAGCATGGGATTCTGATCAGACCTGCGGCGGCCGTCTTTATGGCGAGGGCTTGGTCTGGATCCATTTGCAGGTTTTGCCAACCGCTTTAATGGTTTGGTTTTGTCATTTTTTGACCGGCTTTTTTTTCAAATGTCTTGATAAAGGTATGTTTTTTTATCCCTGTTTATGAGGAGAATTCAAAAGAAAATTGTGTTTTTCCTTGCTAAGTTATTAGTAATATTTTTTAAATAAAAATTATAGCTTTTTGTAAAGGATTAAAAAAATATTTTAATATTATTGAACCCAACATTGATTTCAATTTTTTTGGTTTTAGTATTTTTGTAAATTTAAGATAACAAAAATAAAAAAATCTGTCCTGGACTAGGCTTATCACAGAAAAGAATTTGAAAAGATGAATTGAACTTTATACATGAAATAAGTTCAACTGCTAAAAATTTAAAAATAAAAAATTGGTGTTTCTTTTTTAATTTTTTGCAGTGTGAATTTCAGGTGGTTTTTGGTAGCGGAAGATGCAAAAAAGAGATAAACCGATCCATTCTTTTTCAAGACGTTCGCCCCATTGGCTTTTAATCCAAAACATAACAATTGAATCCTGGGTCTTTTTTTTGCATGAAGTTACAACACAAGCTGTTACATAAGGTTTAATTAATATACTATAATTTTATATAGTTCAAATAAATTAACATCCGTTGCTATTGGACAAATTGGCCACTAACTTTGGTAACATTTAATCAAAACCTTCTAAAACTGTGTATAAAATAAGTTATTGTGGGTTTCTGGTGATAACTCTTCGAATTATGGTGGTACGGCTAAGCGTGGTGTAGCCTCCGTTTGGGTGGAAGAGGTTTAGAGTTCAAAATTATACTTTCTAATCCCAGTTTTACCTTCTTTGGCATGGGTTCGATTTCCCTGGGGATGCTTTTGGTAGTTTAGCACGGGGGGGAAGGGTAAGTCTAGTAGGCGTTTATTCGGTGTAAACTCTCCGCAGGGACAATGGTTAGGAAAAGCTACCCGTCGTGAATGAGCTTCTAAAAAAATTGAACCTTGGAAAAACTGTTGGGAAAAGGGGTAAAAGAAAAAACAAACCCAAAACTAAAAATGGGGGTTGTTTGCATAATTTAAGGCCCCTTTTTTATTTTGGGTTTCCCTTTTTTTATTTTAAAGGGTATATGTTTTAAAAATTTTTCCAAAAGTTTCATTTTTTTTTATTTCCCCGGGTTTTTTGGAAAAATGTTTATTTAAAGGGAAAGGCCCCTTTTATAATAATTTTAACTTTTTATGTGGGGTTTGGTTTAAGAGTAAAGCCCACAAAAAAATGAATTTTGAAAATTAAAAAAAAAGGTTTTTTTAATTTTTTGGGGAATTTTTAGGGCCCGCCCACCCCATTGTAGTAAAAGCAAAGGGAAATTTTTCCCCCGTTGGAACCCAAAGGGAAAGCAACGTGGGGCGCTACACACTCGGAAATTTATTTTGTGAAAAGGGCACCCGATAGGGCGGATGAAATGTTTTTGGTTTGTGTTGCAGGGATTTGAGGGTTTTCCCCTGGGGGAGAAGAAAAGACCCCGGGGGAATTTAGGGAAAGCCCAGGAACCAGTTTACCCTAAAATACAAGGTTAAAAATTACCCTTTAAAAATGTATTTAGAGAAAAAAAAAGTTTTGCCCAAGGGGTCGTTTTCTTCTGTCCCACCAAACTATTAACTCCAAAAGAAGGGTTTTGATTCCTAAATTTAATTTTTTTATTTAACCCATTAAAGTTTTCAGGTTTTTAATTTAATTGTTAAAAAAGTATAAAGCCAGGTTTAGCCCAATATTTTTTTAGGGGGTTTTAGGGCCCCTTAAATGTTTTTTGATATAAAGGTATAAAAAACCAATAATATCAAAAAGCGTATTACTTCTCTTAGGTCAACTTTATAAAGTTAAAAGTTTTTCTTGAAAGTTTTTGAAAGTTAATCAGCCTGGCTTTTTTAAAGGAGGGAATTTACATGTATTTAATTAACTTGTAACTTTTTAAATAAGATCTTTTGAATCTGCAAAATTGTATTAAACAAAATCTTTGTACAAAAAATTGTTTTGCATGGGTTCAAAAAGTTTAAATTTCTTATAACCGAGGGACCTGATTAGCATTTTAACATGGCAGAAGTTTTGTAGTCTATTTTTATGTACATTTTTTTTAATTGTTAAACAAATTGGCGTCCACGCAGAGAAAATGCATTTGCCCTTTTTTTTAATTTTACACCAAATTTGAAATTTGAAAATTTCAGATTACTTATTTTTTTAAAATTTATTAACGGAGATTTGGGAACAGATGTTAATACTTTATGTTTCTAAACCATTATTTTTAAGAAAAATGTCAATTATTGATTCCAGTTTTACTTTTTTCTAGAAATATGATACATTAGGTACTTTTTTTTTAATTGATGTATAATATATTTGATAATTAATTAAAATTATTTGTTTAATCAGGAGGTGACAAGTGCCCTTGGAAAGTTTTGCTGATTATCACTGTATTGGGGGAAGAAAGGAAGAAGATCTAGAGGCTTTCTTGAAGGATAATCGCGCAAAACTGACCGAGTTGAGTCTAAGAAAAATACTACGAGGAACTTGAGGTCTTATTAACAGCCAGCCTGAATTTAGATGTTGGCCCTATTGCTCTCTTTACAGGTATGGTCATATGTTTTATTTTACCTTAATTTTGTGGTTTATACCTTATTTTTCTCTCAGTTACAATTTTAACCTTACTTCACTGTAGAGCATTTTTCCTTATTTCTTCAGCAAAATTGTATTACAAAGTTATTTATAGATTTTATTTCAATATACAGGTATATTTACATTAATTTATAAATATATTTAAATCTTTAACCATGCATACATTTCATTCTTATACAGAGAAGTGAAGTTTGCTTTAATGTTCGAGCAAAGCATGGAAAAATGCATTATGGGAAGGCATGTAAAACCAAGTTCCCGTACGAAATGGAGGAGATATTTACGTTCATTGAAGAGCTCAACAGGTCTGGGTAGACCTATCAAGGATTGGGTGATATTCAGATTGCCGATGGCCGGGTTTGAAGGAGTAGAGAGCAAGAGATCAGAATTGATATGAGCATTGGACCTATTGAGGTACGTTTTTGAATTGACATGATAGCAATATATGGCGGTCATGACAAAACCAACGATAATGGGTTTGGCGCAGTCTGATCAGGAATCCATGCTGTTCGCTATCAGTTTTTTCTATTTTAAATAGGGTTTGTAAGCGAGCAGCAATGGATCTGAAACCGCTGATGCGATGCGCAGGCTGGTTGGATCCTGCTGGTCGCAAACCCATTATGTTGGTTTTGTCGTTTTTACGCGGGCTTCAATTATATTAAAGTGATAGGAAATCAAATCTGGTGTTTGTATAAAAAAAAACAGTTTTTAGTTGATGGATGAGATAGGCTTGAACTTATGACTCACATGTAAACTTTTTTGTATATTTTCTCTTATGTCTTCCTGCAAGTTACTTATTTCATAGAATTTCAACCATATTTCAGTAGCAAAAGACAAATCATGGGGGTCAGCTGTAAAGTATGATTAAATATAAAGGGTAATTGTTATGTTAAAAAGTTTTGAAATTGATCTGTAGTGTTTAATGCCAATTTTGAATTTATTTCACAGTTTTGTATAGTTTGCATTTTTTGAAGATGTAAATGAAAATGTTAGAAATAAAATACAGTATACTTTTTCTGTAAGTTGCTTGTATTTGTAATTGCACCCTTGAATGATGTTTTTATATCATTTGCATAGCATTTCACATTACAGCGAGTCATTTCCATGTTGATCAAACATGATTTACCTGTGGCCAAAGAGGAGAGACTGAGCGATTGTTGATACCGTAGCTGATACGACCACTCGCGATTATTCCTGGGACAAAACGATTGAACGTACGGCAGCTGAGGTGCAGTCACATCTGTATGATGTACAACCAGAGTTCAAAAGGGACTTATTTTAAAATGTTTGAAAACATTCTTGTGGATTGTGACAACTTCTATGATGATTTAAATGTAAGATTCCCATGTTTTTATCAGCTTACTTTGAAATAAATGGAAACATGTTTTTTCTTTGAAGTCCAGTGTTCATTTTATATACTTTTGAAGATATTTATTATTGTTCAAAATAGTGATTTAAAATTTCACAGCCAACTTTATAATACTGTACTAAAGATATAGACAAGCCCAGTCCTGTATGACTATTTTACATGATAACAATTTATAAATTAAATGCTTTTTTTTTTCAAAAAAATTTTAATGCTCTTTGTTCCTGTTTTTTAATTTAAGACTTGAGGCGGTGCATTATTGCAAGTTTGTCTACTAATAGTACAATGTAATATTACCATTAAATATGTTTGGGGTTTTATTGTTTGTTTTTTTCCCTCACCACAAATATTTAAGTCATCAGTTATTTTCATTAAAATTGATTAAAATTCATTGATTTTCCATTTATTATTCATTTATTTTGTATCATTATTGTAATAGGCGGACTCCAACTGGTACCAGGGTTCACCGTGAAGCATCTGACCGCCTACTTGGTCATCTGTCAGAATAATTTGACATCCTTATAAGAAAATTTTCACCGTCACCGGAGGTTAAGAACTTTTTTTCAGGTCTTCCGGTCACAGATTAACCAGGAACTGCTCAAGACTCAAGAAGGAGTTAATTTGTTACAGAAGTTGTATGGGTTACAATGCTGTATAGATAACGGTGCATGGTTCTATGACATTCTCTGGGCGAATTAAATTGAAAAAATCCAATGAACCTCATTGAGTTCCAGAATAAGTAAGTTAAGTTTTTTTAATGGTAGCATGTTTGTTTGAGGGGCAGAAAGAAAATGTTTTTGATTTGACACGAAATTTGTCAAAAATTCTTCAAAATGTGACATAAAATTATGTGCATATTTCTCTATTTTTCTGAACTCTTCTAGATTGATTACTATGGAAATTTTTAAGTTAATTACCTTTTTTGAAAAAAAAAAAAAAGGATATTGGCAGTTTATTTGAAGGGATTTGGGTTTTCTGCTTTTAGGGCATTCTTGAAAAACTAAAATTTTCAGTATTTGAAATTTTTTGGCAGGAGATTTCTGGGAAATATTTTTTCAATTTTTACTTGTGTTGAGCATTTCTTGTCTGTTTTCTTTAAATCAATATTGTAATATTGAAATGGCAGGGTTTTTTCCATAATAAGGATACTAGAATACATTATAACAATAGCTACATATTTTCAATAGATGCCGTAAAACCTTCCACGAGCGTCTGAAAAAGAATTGGCCGCCGTTTGAAGATTAAAGAAAAAATTGACGCTTTAATGAGTGGTTCCCCTTTTTTTGAACTGATGACCAACAAAGCCATGAAGCCTAGCTTGGAACCCGGATGGAGGGTCAAGGGCATGTGTTTTGACTAGAAAATGATTTAAATTTTACTCTGAGGGAATATTTTCAAACCCATTGCTTTGAGTTTTAAAAAAAGGATATTGAGGTATATATAGTTTTTTATGGGTTTTATGATAGTTTTTTTCCCTTGACTGAAGTTGCAGTTATTTTTAAATAATGAAATGAAGTAAACGGATAAACAGACTTGTAATGTCACTTTCAAATTTCTTTATATCTTTAAAAAAGTAAACTTAGTAAAATAAAATTTAAAAATTAAAAAAGGGTTTTTATCAGTTTTCATTGATATGATGGGAAATTCCCCCCTTTTAATTTACAAGCATTTTTTATTTTTTGGTAGGTATGACCCTAAAAACTACATCAGGGGGGACAATTCTACTGTGTGAAAATGTTTTGCTGTGGATAAGTTCTGGGGTTTTACTGAAATTTTATAAAAGAATGATGACTTTGTCTTAAAAAAGTTGTACCAAGTTTGAAAATTTTGATAATTAATGAAATTTTTTATATTGTTGTTCAACCATAAAAAAATACATTTAGCCTAATTGTTCTAAATTTTAAAAAAATTAATGCTGTTTTCAGATTGTTTTAATTAGTACTTATTTATACACTGGATAGCATATAAATGAGAATGACCGATGCTTGAAATGAGGGTAAAAATGCGTTCAAAAAACTTCTTTTCTTGCTTTTTGTCTCCATAAGGTATTACGAAGTCAATGTGCATTGAAGCATTGATGTCCAAGCTAGTAGATCCATTGCATGAACATTATTGAAAAAGATTGATAAATTAACCACAAAGCACTCACCACTGAAATTAAAGAAGGAGTTTGATTAGATAGTTACGTCTGGGTACTTGATCTGTTTACATGAAATACTCTGACTGATAAGGCATTTTCATAGTGTTGTTTTGGCTGCATTCAAAAAATTCATGTTAGGTTAGGGGCATGTAATAACGGATAGATATTCCTTATTCAGTTTTGATTCATAACACTTGTTTTGATTTTTAGGAAACAGGTAAGTTTTGGTTTAAACATAAATTGTTTAAGTCTTGATTGCAAAGAGTTCTTGCAAACTGAATTTTTGCATTCTCTCAAAGTCGCTTCCTGGACAGCTAATGTTAAGTGTCTATATGAAGAAAACATGTCAATGACGCCGAAGTTAGGGCTTAATCATGATCTTTCGTTGAGAGGCAAGTACATTAACACTGAGGCCCACGCTCCTTTGGAAAATTTATTTTTGGATTGCAAAATTTGTTGAGTATAGTTATTTACGATTGAAATAAGATTAAGACATCATATTTAATTTAGATCTGTTACTAGGCTAATACAGGGGACTATCTTGAGGCTTATAGGTTTGATACTGTCAAGCGTTGATAGGGGGGCCATACATATATCGAATTGTAGAATCACCTAAATTACGCAAAGAAAAATATGCGGTAATACTTCACCTTTATAGAATATAAAGCAATTAACTAATTACGATGTTCACTGCGAACAGATGTGAAAAGCAAATATAATACATTCTATCTTAGTACAATGCCAACGTAAAGTACTATGGGAATAAAATTAATATGATCCATTAATTATATAAAAAAAAAAACATCAAATCTAGAGAGGACCAACATGTGTAAAAGAAGGTGCAGTTCTATTGTGTGTTAATAAAGCAGGTGTGTCACTAATAATGTAGGAATGATTATTGGTAACACACAAATGTTTTCTAATCATTTCACCTATATAAAATTGAATTGCTCAGCTATAGATGTTCCACTTATCATTAAGAATATCTTCGAGCTTTTATTATGTTGCATTATAAATGTATATATCCAATATGTGTCTAATAAGAAAATTTTTATTCATTATAGAAATGATAATATGATTTTAAAAGTCAAACACTGTATTAGCGGTAATGTCTGACAATACTATGCCATAATGCTTTAGTTCTACTATGTTCCTACGATCCGTGAATGGATGAATATTTCTCGACTTTTCTTTGCAGCCTATGCACTTTTCATGAAAATTGACCAGATAACTTAACCTGTTTGGAGCACTATTTTTTTAATCAGATTTGTTTGTATACCTTTTCCAAACAGATTTGACTGTATAGATCATCTGATAATTAAGTTAATTACATGAGTTGTGCATACCTTTAATGTAGTGGACTCATACTTTAACGAGTCTAAGAAGATGTAAAGTTTGAGATGTGCTGTGTCAGGGTGATATTCTAAAGGTAGAAGGGTCTGTTATGAAATGGCTACTCATTGTAACGATCATACTTTTATTACACTGAATTATACAGCAGATTACTTGCGTCGCAGCAATAGAAGACAGTATTTAGGTTTAAATGGAGCCAAGTGTTTTAATGTGTAACTTAAGAAGATATAATATCTATATTATCATTATCACATGTTGATAACAAGTGGCATTTTTTGGTGATAATGAAAAAATACTGCTAAATGTTAAGCCAAATTAATGGCTATATCTCCCATAGAAAAATTAATCCATAAAAAGGTAATATTAAGTTCTATAGGATAATTAAATTATAACTGTGTACTTGCTGTCTTTATTCCGATCTGCAAAGACTTTTAGCTCTTTCGAGAGAAATAATATTTATATTAACTATGAAAGAGATTTTACTGTAATTGTTACGATAATAGGACATCCAAGGATCACTTCTGTAATTTCCTGTAAAGATAGAACACTACAATGTTATCAAAGCAGAAATTTTTTTAAGCACTGCGTATTTTAAACCAAAATTTTTAACAAAATGACATGTAAGGGCTTATTATGTTTTTTGAGAAAAATGTTATAATTGCATAAAATAAATTTGTTATCTCTGCTGTCAAAGAGAAGGATTTAAAGCCAAAATTTAAGCGGGTTTTAAATTTGGGCGATTGGAAAAACCCAAAAAATTTACATTTGCAAACTTCAAAAACCCGTGGGGGAGCTTTTTTGTTAACGTGGAGATAAAAACCATTAAAATTTGGGTTCTTTTGAGGGAAGATTCTCTCAGGGGTGCTCATTTCACTTATTGAAAAAAGGTGGGTCCCGTTAGTTAAATAAAAACAATCCGGCGGGAGGGGTTAAAAGGTTTGTAGCCCTTTAAACAACTTGACCAAAAACCCTGGGGGTTTAAAAATCCTGATAGAATTTTTTGATTCTTTCATGGATTTCCCAGACTCCATTATTATCAAATTTTGAGAAGATGAATATTTGAAGCTAAAATAGAAACAGTATAGAGTCTAGTTGGGACTGTATGGTTTTTCCCATTTTTGGTTCTAGCCCCAAATTCTAGTGGCAGCAAACCCAAACTGTCTGTTTCATTTTGTGAAAAGGAGTTATGTTTTTTGTACCCATTTATTCAATTTATTTAAACCTGGATTTTAAATAAATTTCCCACAGATACAATTCCCATTCAAGAAGAAAGATTCAAACCTGGGTACAAAATTCCCAAACCCCTCCAAAAATTTTTGAAAACTGGTTTGGTTGTACAAAATCTCTGGGTGTCCTTAAAGGGCCGTTTTTTTGTTGGTGGTGCCCTTCCCCAAAACAGTTGCCTAAAGTAATTTAGCCAAAGAAGTTGTTTTTATAAAAAGTTAGTCAACCATTTGTGTAGGTAATTTTCCGCGTTTTTGTTTTAAATAAGTTAGCAAAACAAGTGTGTAAAAAGAAAAATGTTTGCCAAAAGTAAGTAAAATGGCCTTTTTAAGTTTCTTAAAAATTAAAAAATAGTTTAAACAGATCCCCATAGGGGAATTTATTGATACTTTTAGAAAAGTGAAAACCCCAAACTACTGCTCAAACTAGATCGCCCCTTTAAATTGATTCCCCAAAAAAACCAAAAACCCAAAAGGGTCTTTTTCCAAAAAAATTAATAAAAAACCAAAAATTAAAAAGCTACGGGTTTGTTTCCAAATTTTATGCTTTTCCCAATTACTTTCCCTTTAGTTGGGGGAAAAATGCCTGATAAAAATTATAAATTTTAAGATATCTTTTTGAATTTTTGTTTTGTTTTAAAAATTTACTTTTGATATTTTTTTCCCTGATCTATAGGAAGCAAGAGGTTCAAAAAACATTGACAAATCAGGGGATAAAAGATAATGACAGGGGTGCGCACGAGACCAAAACCTTTCCAGTGTTGTGGTGGGGTGATGAGAACATTGAGGGCAGTTTTTGGGCCTCATTTACTTAAAGCAGTTGGAATTTTGGGGCCAAAAAATCTTCACAGGGTAAGTTTCTTCTCATTAGGTTTTGTTTGGCCTGAATTTTCTTCCCAGTAAAGCTTTAATAACTTTTTAAAAAAATCTTATATAATGTACTGTATGATTTTGGGCAGTTTTTGGGTATGAAAATTTCAAATATCCAAGTTCAGACCTTTTAAATTTTTCCTATTTCATTTTTTTTTTTAAAAGAATTGTATTATCGTTATTCTTTTGATTAAAAAAAAAAAACCCCTAAAATTAAACCATTTCATCCCCAAATCTTAAAACATAGCTTTAAATTTGGGTTCTACTTGGGGCCTGTCATAACCTGAATTAATTTTAAACAGATGGCACAAAAATGATTTACCCCAGTAATTTTTAGAAAGTTACTATATGACCTAAAATTTTTTTAAAAAAATGTTTTTTTAAAACTATGTATAACTTTTTTTTTAAACAGTACCTGGAGAAGAAGAGATTGTTTGTTCCCAAAAGTTTCTTCTTTGTGTAAAAGATCCCGCTTTACTGGGGGGACCCCTTGGTAGAGCGAGCGCCCCCCCCAAAATTAAGGTTTCTTTTTTGCCCTGTGTTTGACAAAATAAAGACTGTGTTTTTTCCAACGAAAAAATTC